TTTACTGGTAAAATATCCTATACTCTCATGTAGTAATCGTAATATCGTAATAAGGTGGTATCGCAATAAGAACTAGGTATACAGTATGTACGTAAAGGGGATGTGTTCAACCAGGATATGTCGGTGAAAACTATGATGTCTCAAGCGTCAACTCTCTTCTCTTTTATATGATATATATATATGCATATATATCATTAATTATTATTTATCGCTTTTTTCGTTTTTTGTTTCTCTTTTTCTCTCAAAACTACTATTACAAAAGTGCGCACTCTCTCGTCTTATATTTTATAGGTACACACATGTATCGGCGTGACCTATCTATTTTGTTCATTGTCCTTCATATTAAACCTGTAGCTTTCAAATTACTCTCTTCAATTGGACAGGATGCGACGAAAGCAATGCTGCCGCTAAAAACTGAATAATTTTTTCTGTGCAAGAAATAAGTCACATCGTGGAATACTTATTTCGCGCGTCAGAAATCCCGCCCCCCCCCTCCCCCAATTTTTTTTAAGGGGAGAATACATCAAACTTCAAGCACAATATCGGTGTTGCGATTACCATGACAAGGTGACAAACCGATTTATCTCAGAAGCTGTAATACGTTAAAAAGTATCCACTTTTTGTACTATATCTCTGTATTTTCAATGATTTCAAAATCTGACCCCTCCCCCCCAAGCTACATCGCCGAGGATAACAAATTCATTTTCTGGAGCGCTTCGTTTATTGCAACCACTTTTAATTCACCAGTTACATAACCGAGGCAGGAAACAGACGATACTCGAGAACACACGCACACACTTCATTTAGCGAAGTATAATGGGTGTGATCACGGGTATAGTAACGCATGAAAGCACAGAAGTGTAATTCGTTGAACTTATATTCACTATTTCGTCGTATGCTTGATAATCGAGTGCTGGTCTTTTTTTCTTTTTTCACATTTTTCGCAGAAGAAACTAACGTGCCTTAATGTTCAACTACCCTTTACTCGCCACGAAAACGAAAATTTACCGTAATTATGGACGCGTCGTCGTATGACCCTCACAGTTGTACCGCAATCCGACAATCAAGTATCGTACCGAACAAAGCTGAATATCCCACGATGATAGTCGACCTATCGTTTCACAGAAAAATTACCCTGCACCAGTTGTAGCACAATTTTCACCACAGTCTGCATGCTTTCCCTAAACAGATCACTATGATAATCTTCTTGTTTAACATCTCACGCACACGCGAATTTTTTTCTCGCAAACGCAAACTCATTTATTCATGTTCAGAGACATACTATACTCACGCGCGCGACTTCGCGCGCGTAAGCACACACACACACACATGATACTTTCTACGCGTCGACGGTATGTATATATATATCTTATCTTTATCGTCGTATCATATCAGAATTTTTTGCTCCTCCGATGAATAGATCATCCATTTCTTTCTCCATTTTTTTTAATTCCTTACTTTTCCCTCTTGCCTCCTCAATCTTTCCTATTTCTCTTTAAATCGTGCGATCTTGCTTCTCTTTCTCACAAGGATAACGTGACACAATACACCGCGAGAATTCGATAAACAACCCCCTTTTACCTCTCTCTCTCTCTCTCTCTCTCTCTAACTCTGTGTGTGTTTTAAAAAAATTAATCGACACGCAATTCAGAACT